AACTGGCTCAATAATAGCATCTACCTCACAGGTTTGCTTTTTTTTTTTTTGAAGATTAAATGATGTATCCAAAGAGCTCAACAGAGTACATAGTAAGGAAATTATAAATATAAGTCAGTGCTACTATGTGTTAATATTTTTCCTTTCTAAACTTTGCTTTTTCTTTTTTCCTCAAAAAATTCTCCACAGCACAAACTTGCCTCCAGATGGGCTAGGCTCCCCTTGCACTGCCAAACTTCTATGATTAACTTTGCCTTTATTCTTTTGCTTAAATAAATACTTCTTCCTTTCCATCTATTCATGCAAATCCAATCAATTTTCCATTCTCAGGCAAAGCTGGAACTCCAAATAGCCATCCTGTGGATGTCAGTCAACTTCTTTCACAAGCTACCTCAAGGCAAATGGCTCAGTATGCAAAGGGACTATGGCATCAAAGATGGGGGTTAGGCATGGACTCCACAACATTGACTTTGCCTTATTAAAGCTCATCTGGTTACCATCACCATTGAGTGCTTGCCTGCCAAAACTAGAAATGATGCTAAGGCCTGATATGACCTCATTTTCTGAGGATGGAAGCAGGAGAGAGAGCAGCAGAGGAAGTAAGGGTGATACACTAGCCTCTTCATGGAAGATTGATGGTGTTCAACCTGTACCATCATACAAGGAGCAGCAATTTGTCCTCACTGTAATATATATATATATTCTGATTCTGGATTGTCATCCTTGCCCTTGACACTATTGCCAGTACTAGTATTCATAGATCTATAGAACACATTATTCACTATCATATTATTCCACATACCATTTCTTTTCACCAAATATTTAATTTTTCAGGAAAAGGAGTATGGCTTGGCCTCATTGCTATAAAATTTACTGCTCTGACCACTACTCAGAAGCAGTTAACCACATAGGATGTTGAAATAGCCTACTGAAGATAGAGTTTTTGTGCCTATTACAATTGGAAACTATACCTATGAAGTTGGGAAACTGTCCTCAAGGATGTGACATGTATTTTAACCCAAAGACCAATATTGATACCATTTCCCCATACTTAACCAAAATGCATAGATCTCAGAATCAAGGAGTGAAGTTGAAAGTAAGCTCTCTTATTAGCACCCCTGATAATCCACTCACCAAAACTTTCAAAAAAATCCTGAAACTTTGGGCTCTGCTGGTTGAGAATTTTATGATTTCCAAGGAGATTCTTATATGAGGGAGCACAACAACAGTTCTGTTGAATGAGAAGCTGAGACTGTCACTTGATCTTAATTGGGTTTCTCAGGTCACTATGCTTTCTACAGGCACAGAAGAGGGTTACTCTACTAAACATCAGGCTCGATTCTGATTATCAAGGGGAAATTGGTTATGCATAATGGGAAGAGAGGGGACTATGACTAGTACTCAGTAGGTTCTGTGGGCCACCACTGCTAGTCATAAAACTTAATTCAAGGCCGGCACCGCGGCTCACTAGGCTAATCCTCCGCCTAGCGGCGCCAGCACACCGGGTTCTAGTCCCGGTCGGGGCGCTGGATTCTGTCCCGGTTGCCCCTCTTCCAGGCCAGCTCTCTGCTGTGGCCAGGGAGTGCAGTGGAGGATGGCCCAGGTGCTTGGGCCCTGCACCCCATGGGAGACCAGGAGAAGCACCTGGCTCCTGCCATCGGATCAGCACAGTGCGGCGGCCATTGGAGGGTGAACCAACGGCAAAAGGAAGACCTTTCTCTCTGTCTCTCTCTCTCACTGTCCACTCTGCCTGTCAAAAAAAAAAAAAAAAGGCAGGAAAGTGAGCATAAGACTAGACACTGCAGAGAATGGAGATACATGATGACCTGATAAAGAAGGGAACTAACTACAAAGCACCTATCAATCTCTCAAGATCCTGAACCAAGAGGAACTTTACTCAGTGGGGAAAGGGTAAGCAGGAGGCCCCAAGAAGTTTTCAACTCATGCCACAAACACCTGAGGCACTTACAGCTGGAGAACCTTGTGGCCCTTACAGATCCTGAGCTGTTTGGGGAGCTGCTGAGTTACCACAATGCCACACTGCCTTAAAAAAAAGGGGCACAGCCCGTGCTGCACCTCCCCGATCCAGGCTCTTACTGTAGAGTCATCTTGAGACCCCGGCGAAGCAACTGCCCTTGGCAGCTGTACAATTGCAGCCCTATAAAAAACCAGCCAGGCAGCTACCACCCAGCAGCTCTATTGACTCTGCCCTGTGAAACAGCCAGAAGACACTGCCCTTCTTCCGTAGTCCTGGGAAGAAACTTGGTGGTACACTCTGAGCGGCTCAGCCTTCAGGGTCCCCAAGAAAACAATTGGGTGGCTCCACCCCTGCACCTTGAGCCCCAGGAAGCAACCAGGCAGCCAGCCTTCAGGGACCCAGCACACAGAGGCCCAGGGAAACAGCTGAATAGCCCCCACCTGTCCACCCATGATCCCTGGAAGCAATCAAGCAGTCTTTTCTGAATGGCTCAGCCTGCACAGGCCCGAGAAGCAACAGGATAGCTCTACCCACAGTTCTATGTCCCTAAGAAGCAGTTGAGCTGCCTGGTCTTAGAATCTTGGCCTACTGAGGCCCTAAAAAGCAGACACTCTGCCCCACTGACCCACTCTTGGCCCCTGGGAAGCATCTAGATAAACTTTATTGATCAGTTAGCCCCCAGAGGCCCCATGAGCTTATCTATGCAGTCCTCAGACATGGACAGGTGCCCTATGTGGGCCCAGTGGTGCAATCTAACCCCCAAGCAGCCCTTGGACACTAACAGGCACTTGCCCCTGCTACTGGGCACACTATAATGCACCCATTTGAACCCACTGGAATGGTTCCACCCTCACATGATTCACAGAAACCAGCTGGCACACCACATGCACAATCCAGTGAAACATTTTAGAGCTGCCCACGGATCTACCCCACCTAAGAGAGTTGATTCCCAGCAGGCAGTGGAGTTTCACACCCCTGAAGCCTAGGCTACTGAGACACCTGCATATATCACCAATGCATTTTTTTATAGCGGATCTTACTGAAGTTCCCACTTGGAACAAAAGCCAATACAACATATCTAACCAACACCCTAGGACACATAGCCAACAGAAAGTCTTTTACTACAAAAGCCACTCTACAAAATTGGTAGAAGCAACTGACTAAAAGAACAAAAATAAAGCTAGGGACACAAGAAAACAAGGTAGCATGATTCTTCTAAAGGAACATATAACTTTCTAGCAACAGATCATTAAAGAAAAAAAAGGAAAATCGGCAAATTACCTGCATAAATTAAAAAAAAAAGATTTTAAAGAAACTTAATATGATACAAGAGAATACAGACAATTTAATGGTAAAAACACAATTAGTGGGGCCGGCGCCGTGGCTCACTTGGTTAATCCTTCGCCTGCAGTGCTGGCATCCCATATGGGCGCCAGATTCTGTCCCAGTTGCTCCTCTTCCAGTCCAGCTCTCTGCTGTGGCCCGGGAGGGCAGTGGAGGATGGCCCAAGTCCTTGGGCCCTGCACCCGCATGGGAGACCAGGAGGAAGCACCTGGTTCCTGGCTTCGAATTAGTGCAGCGTGCCGGCCGTAGCAGGCATCTGGGGGGTGAACCAACGGAAGGAAGACCTTTCTCTCTCTCTCTCACTGTCTAACTCTAGCTGTCAAATAAAAAAAATTTAAAAATTAAAAAAACACAATTAGTTATATGAATGAGAAATTCAGCAAAGAGATAGAGATAAAAACAATGAACATATCAGAACCCTTAGGGCTAAAGAACTCAATAAATTAAATAAAAAATATGGTTGAAAGCTTCAATAACAAAATTGAGCAGGCAGAAGAAAGAATTTCTGAACTCAAAGACAGATCCTTTGAAATACCCCATGTTTTTAAAAATAAAAAAGAGCTAATCTCCAAAGACTAGAAATGTACGTTATTTTTTTTCCCTTCAAAGTCATTATTGTAAAATTACTGACTACTGAGGCAACAACACAGACTTCAGTGACCTTATGCAATAAGGAATAGAGTCATTTCCAAAAATAGTTTAGAAAATTAAACAAATAAGTGACTGCTTCCCTCAACAATCAACAATAACAAACCCTGGGTAGGGAGAGAATCTGACTTATACAATTGCCATTCTGTAAATTCAAATTTTCCAGTTTTCAAGAATAAAATGATAAGACATTCAAAAAAGTAGGAATCTATGGCCTATTCACAGAAAGGAAGAGAAAATGGATATAAACTGCTCCTGAAGAAGCCAATAGCTTGGATTTAATAGACAAAGACTTTTAAAAAGATTTATTTATTAGGTATAGGCATAATTACAGAAAGAGAAGGAGAGAGAGAGAGAAAAAGAGATTTTCCATCTGTTGGTTCACTTCCCAAACGGCCACAAATAGCCAGAGCTGGGCCAGACCAAAAGCAGGAGCTAGGAGCTTCTTCTGGATCTCCCACATGGGTGGCAGGGACAAGGACTTGGGTCATCCTCAGCTGCTGTTCCTAGGTGCATTATCAGGAAGCTGAATTGGAAGTAGAGCAGCCAGGACTTAGACTGGTGCCCATTGGGATGCTGGCACTGCAGGCAGTGGCTTAACTTCCTGTGCCACAGTGCTGGCCCCTAGACAAAGACTTGAAATCATCTGTCTTAAATATGCTGAAAGAGTTAAAGAAAATTATGCAGAAATAACTAAAAGAAACAGGAGAGAGATGTATGGACAAATAGAGACTATCCATAAAAAATGATAAAAACAAATAGAAATTCTGGAGGTGAAAAGCACAAGAACTAAAGTGAAAACGTTACTAAACTCAATGAAAAGTTTGCCCTCAATAGCCTCCAGAAGGGACTAGCCCTACTGAAACCTTGACTTTAGTCTAATGAAACTGATTATTACCTGCTGACCTCCAGAACTGTAAGAGAGTAAATTTGTGCTATTTTAAACTACTGTTTGTGGTAATTTGTCATACCAACAATAGGAAATTAACATAATACCTTCAAACCAATTCAAGCATTTAAACCATCCTACCTTAAAACTCCTTGAGTAATGTCTATTTTCTTGACTGGGTGTTGATATCATGTCTGTGGAAGAAATGAATAAATGAAGGTATAGAACAGTAAGATCCAAAGCAAAGTCTGTTGTCCTCCACTGTCTGGGTTCCTCCAGAATATGACCAAGGGAATCAAGATTTGGTTTAAGTATTTACTGGGAAGGGGAAGGGAAGATGGCCAAGGTCAATGGAGGGTATGCTATCTAGAGGTTATTACTGTGAAAAATCAACACCTAATTTTATTGGGGAATTCTGAGAACCAGTGTAAAGCATGCATCTACTTGAGAGGGTGAGTGTACTAGAGAATTTATTGCCATCTCTCATCAATCTTTAGTTAAGGACTATATTAACTCACTGGCATGTCCAACCTGCCATGTGTAGGGATAGAACAGGCTCTGATGGCCAGAAAAAGCTCTCAGATCTGATGCAAATCCTAGCAGTTGAAAGTTGAGCTGGGATGCATGGAAATGGTTATGGCTAGGGTATGAAAGTAGGGTAGTTGTACCCACAAAATCTATTCTAGCTATTCCAGTCCTAGCTCACCTCCTTTCTGTTAACCAATAAGCACATATTGTATGTGCCACTCCTGAGCAAAACAGTGCCTTTGAGCTAATGACATATACATTTTGTCCCTTACTAGGTTTGCAGAATTTTTCAGAGCAAGGGCCATGACTTGATTTTCTGTTTCTCACAATACTAAGCACCATGATAAGCATATTATAAGCACTCTTGTGTGTTGTTGAATTGAATGATTACCATTATTGTTTAATATCTATTTCTTCCGCTTGAAAGTAGCACTATATTGAATTTTCTCCCTGATTTTTCTTTTTATATTTTTCCTTTACTAAAATAGCTTAATTACACATTAATAAGTGATCATTATAACTAGGGAAATGATCCAATGATTTTTAATTTTAAATAAGTATCTCCCTATCTTTCTCCATGTTCACCTTTTGAGGGTATCAGTGTTAATACCTACAATTAGCCTTCCATTACCTTTTCCGTTTTTCTTACAAATATATATAAACGTGCACATGCTGTTTTTATTTTTATAAAACATGTGATTATATCTGCACCTTCCTTTGCCCCTTGCCAATGTACTTGGTAATATGTCATAGACACCCCCATGTCAAAATTAATCTAGTTCATTTAATAGTTTCAGAATATTGTCATTTGGATGTACCATAATTTATTCAACCATTAGTTTATTGATGGACATGTCATTTACTTCCAGATTTTTTTGCCTCCTTTAACAATGCTGCAGAAAACATCATAAGATAAATATTCATTTATATTCCTCAAAGTGGTAATACTATGTCAAAGCATTTGAAATTCTCATAGATATTGCCAGATTACCTGCCACTTCTTATTTGCATTGAAAACTCTCACTTCTCTTTAGTATTTCTTATTTTATTTTACTTATATGTAATGGAACTTGCCTAACCAGCATGAGTATAAATTGAGCATTCCTAATCCAAAAATCTAAACCTTAAATGTTCCCAAATCTGAAACTTTTTGAGCACCAATATGATACCACAAACGGAAAAGTCCACATGTAATCTCATGATGGGTTGCAGTCAAAATGCAAGCGCATTAAAATATCTTATAAAATTACCTTAAGGTTATGTGTATAAGGTACATATGAAACCAGTGGATTCCATGTTTAGTCTTGGATATCATCCCCATACCCGTTTATGTATATGAGGGATATTCAGGCTGCCATCTACTTGACTATGACAGATGAACCAGAATGGTGCTTCTAGGAGTCATCTGTATATATCAGTGAGGATTTTCCACTGAAGAGGAATTTAAAAGGGGTAGTGATGTGCAGAAGCTATAGCAGAAGGGGTATTTCTTTTGTTCAAGCAATGAAGTATGACACAGCTTTGGGAAACAGGACATTTCCCCCACTTCTATAAGGAGCACAATGTAGATGTGGCAATGCAGGAGCTGGCACACAAAAATCCCTAATTGGTTGAGAACATCCTAAGGGACTAGCAAAAATAACCAGGCTGTATTTTGAGAGGTCATCAGAGGGTAGCAAAAGCCAGTGAATCAAGTGTTGTTGCAGTTAAAATAGAATCTCTTGTCCCTCTACATTTTTACCCATTGGCTGGTAAGATATGGGAAAGCTCATTGTATATATAATTGGACCTGGATTCTCAAATCGGTCCAAAATTTCATGTCACTCTTAAAGATTTGATTCCTGAAATAGCATTTTTTTCTCTGTTGATCCTTCAAAAGCAAAAAAAAAATGCTGAAAACATTTTTGAGTAGACAAAGGCATTGACAAAACAATGAAACATCTTATTAACATAGTTGTGAACTTCTTAATTGAAGATTATGCTTTATGTTGTTTGCAAATGATATTCCAAAATTATAAGCAAGGCTTTCTTCCTTTCTGGAAAATTCTCACTTCAAAGTGAAAATGAAAGTCTTTTTTAAAAAAGATGTTTTCAACAAAGACACGATGATAATGGATACACCTAAGGACAATTTAGTGGAGAGAGGAGGCATATGTATTTTATGTACTAACCTAGCTTTGCCAATTTCCCTGCTTTGCTGAAAAGTTCATTTTCAAAACATCAGTGCTGTATCATTTGACAGTTCGCTGCTTCTGAAACTCTAAATTTCTGGTGTGCAGCTAATGTATGTACATTTAGAAAGCTCCAGATCTGAATTCATATGTATGCAACTCTTAAATTACATGCTGCTGTCAAGTATTGACTTTTATGGTTGAGAGCTTTAATATTGCTATTTGTGTCTCTATAAATTATTTTTTCAGAAGCCAAAAAAGGGGAAAATCCAAGTTTTACTAATAGATACAATAAGCATAACACTCAAGACATAATTGATATGAATATCAATAGCATGATTTTAATAACATCAAACATTTGGGTGTCATAGGAAAATGATTTCTAAATGCAGAATGTGAGTGCTGCGGGGAATCAGGGGCAGGCTTTTAGGAAGAAATACCTGACTTGAATCTATGAACTGAATAGAAGAGTGCGAAACCATTACAGATAGCAATAGAATTAGTCCTATAGATTCACATTTACCATAACCTTGATTTTACAGCCTTAAACAGCACATTGATCACAATGAAGTCCCTACAAATTCTAGAACTGTGCAAACAGTGGGATTTTTTGTTCTCCTTATATGTTGTGTGGAAAGTGTGTGTATGTTGCATGTGTATGTTGCATGTATGTGTTGCGATGGAGTGGGGGTTGAAAAGGCGCGTTCGAAGAGGAAGACTCCTTTAGAGTATTTCATATGAAGGGAAATTTCAAATTTTGGGGGTGCTTGCCTTTTGTCCAAGCTTGGGTCTTGGCTTTCCAGAGTGGGAAAGGGAATCTTTGATAGGGTTTGCAGGGAGTTGTGGGAAACACAAAACTAATGCAGATAATATGACAGAGGGCAGAAGATTCCCTAATGGAACTCCTAACTAATCAGTTTGAAAGAAGCACATGCAGAAGATGGCCAGAGCCCCACATGGTGTTCAACCTCATGGAAATAGGGCTATGGAATGAACCAAAGCCAAAGATGAGCTCAAGAAAAATGGTTCCATGGCCAGCGCCGTGGCTCAATAGGCTAATCCTCCACCTGCGGCATCGGCACACCGGGTTCTAGTCCCGGTCGGGGAGCCGGATTCTTTCCCGGTTGCCCCTCTTCCAGGCCAGCTCTCTGCTGTGGCCAGGGAGTGCAGTGGAGGATGGTCCAGGTGCTTGGGCCCTGCACCCCATGGGAGACCAGGAGAAGCACCTGGCTCCTGGCTCCTGCCATCGGATCAGCGCGGTGCGCCGGCCGCAGCGCGCCAGCCGCGGCGGCCATTGGAGGGTGAACCAACGGCAAAGGAAGACCTTTCTCTCTGTCTCTCTCTCACTATCCACTCTGCCTGTCAAAAAAAAAAAAAAAAAAAAAAAAAGAAAGAAAGAAAGAAAAGAAAAAAAAAGAAAAATGGTTCCTAACAGTCTCCATTCAAACTCGTCTCTCTCTTCCTAACAACAAGCTCTCTATTCTGGATAAGTTCTCCTTGAACTTTACTGAGTTGATTTCACCACTAGCCTTCATTTTGTTTTACCATAAGAAAACATTAGCCTTCCTGAAGTTCATTTCCCCAGAGCTTTATTCTATAAATAAAGCAATCTGAACCATTGTAATAACATGAAGCCACTTATCTAATATGCTTATACCCTAACAGAATCTCTCAGATATGCAAGCATAGGATAGGTTCAAATAGTAGTTTTTATGGTTAAGTCAGTTGGTGGGGTAGCTTCTTTAGGTGTAACAAGATTTCTTATTTTTCCTCAAATCACACTATGTAGAAAGCTACCTATTTTGCCTAAGCATAAGCCCATTCCTGATACTTTATACACATGACTTTTTTGCTTGTTATGTCTAGCTCATTGTCACCCACTCAAGGTGATACCTAGTGTACTATACTTATATTATATGTTGCCTCCCATCTGCTAGGCCCCTCCTGTCGGCACATGCCTTGACCATTTGCCTTGTGCTGCAATTTGACTATGATTTGGCTTTTGAACACATGTAGGACTTTAAATCCCACAGTCATGGGTTGGTGGTGCTAGGAGGGTGCAGACTTGATCCAATTATAGTGTTTAGGAGGTATGCCTATTAGAAGGCCCTTAGGTCACTGGAGGCATGCCCTTGAATGGTATTTCTTGTGAAAAGACTGTTCAGATAAGCCTGAGTCAGGCCCAATTTCTCTCTCTGCTTCCTGGCTCACCACAGGATTATTTTTCCACAAATCCTATGCCAACACCAATCTCTGCCCTAGTGGATGGCAGAATAGAGCCCACCTGACCTTGAACTGTGAACCTCCAGAACTGTGAGCCAAAAGAAACTTCCTGCCTTCATCAATAACTTATCTTGGGTATAGTAATGAAAACCTGACTAAGATACTTTGCTTGCCAGTAGAAATAGCCCCAAGGCAAAGGCTCATGGTTTTCCTGTGGTCTTTAAAACTCTGGCTGCCCCTCCTCTCATAATCAGATGAGCCCCCAGTGGACA